TATATATATATATATATATTTTACGAAACCGACCAACTTTGGTCGATTTTCTTTGGCTCAAAAATGCGGGAAACAACTTTTGAGTCACGCAAAATTTATTTTTCAAGAAACCGACCAACTTTGGTTGGTTTTAATATAAAATAAATTAAAATTAGTATTAAAAAAACCGACCGAAATCGATTGGTTAATTCGGTCGGTCATTTTAAAAAACCGACCGAATTCGGTTGGTAATTTTATTTTTTAATAAAAACGATCAACTTTGGTCGATTATTTTCGTGCAAAAAATACAATTAAAGAGTGTAAAAAAAAATAAAAGACAGTCTTAAAATAAAATGCACCAATAGTCCAGTAGTAGAATAGCATCCTGCCACAGTACGAACCCCGGTTCGATTCCCAGATGGTGCATTTTTTAATTACATAATTAAAATACCGACCAACTTTGGTCGAAAAAACCGACCAAAGTGTAATATTTTTTGAATTTAATTGACCGACCAAAGTTGGTTGGTATGCCCTTCCGACCTTCAAAATACCGACCACACATTATTGGTCGAGTTTTGGACGGTTATTGGCCATTACCGACCAACTTTGGTCGATTTTTTGGGACGGTTTTTTCCGAATTTGTAGTAGTGAGATATTGTTATATTTACTTAGTTAATAGTAAAGATGGAGCAATGGATGCATTCAAGCAATATAATTTTGAAGTTGAAACGCAGCTAAACAAAAAGATCAAAATAGTGATAGGAGCGGCGAATATACTTGAATGGATAAATTAGTCAAATCACTAATTTTTATAATAATAATAATAATAATAATAATAAAGAGTTTTAAAAGAAATATTATAAAAATGTAAAATTAGGGAAATACGCGTAATATCATAAACCAAGTTATGAAGCGACATATGCGGGAAGGTTTATGAAACTATCCTTTTTTACAAAGAAAATTAGAATAACCACGTCAATTTTTTCGGCGAAAAATGGCATCTTTCGATCACTTCTATTGCTTTATTTACAAAGCTCAACTTAAATGATCACGCTGGATGTGATCCGCTCCCGTGGGAAAGACTCCAGTATTTCTCAATGACTTCTTTGGTTGACGCCAAATGTTCACCTAAAATATTAAGGGGTCGTTTGGTTGATAGTTAGGGTTATGCATGTATTAATAATATAGGGATTAATTATATAAGATTAGTTATGTTGGGATTAATTATGTGGGGACAATTTATATGGGGGTTGTTTGCTCAAAAAATGTTACACATCTTACGAGTACAAAACAATATAAATAAATCCCGGGATAATCATAGCAAATCGTAATAATCCGTTGGACCAGATGAAAGAAACTAAAATAAGAACTCAGAATTAGGGGGAGAAGCATTAGAAACCTTTATTGATAATATTCGTTTGGTCTGCCTCTCCATGAAGAGGTTCAGAGCCTTACAATGGTGTTTCTCTTCCCATAAGAGGGGTATATTTTCTTGTTTCTCTCTCCTCTCACTAGTGGTGAGAAGCAGCCCCCCTTTCTAGGGTCCCTTCTCTTGGTATTTATAGCTGTGGGCTTCGTGAGCTATCAATAAGTGGCCATGACCACGTTGAGATCTCGCCTTTATAGTGGCGGATAGGCCAGGGCCTTTGTTGACCGAGCCAGGGGCGGGTTGAACGTCGTCAATTATCAGTGGTCGTGCCACTAATTAATCGTGAATTAACTTAAAACGGGATTAGCCTCGTTAATTATCGTGGGGTCGGGTTCTGACCCATACAGGGGTTAGTTATGCGGTAGTATATATAGGTTAGTCATATAAAAAAAATAACGTGAGTATTACTTATTAATCTACTTTATTCTATCAAAATTGTTAGTATATTTTAAATATCTTTTTAAACAAAGAGATACAAGTTTTGAATAGAGTGTATTCTCGTCATTTTGTATTTTAATACAAGTATTACTAATACATATATATAAGTTATTCTTTCTTCTATCCTGC